AATATGTTTGTGACGGAAAAAGCAAATTGAAATAAACTCTCTGCTACTAATCCGGGAACTTAAAAAAAGAAAAAAAAAAATCATCGATTTACATTACAAAAAAAAAAAAACGTCACTTTTATTATTATTATTATTTTTTCTTTAATAAATATTAATTAATTATATTTAATTGTTGGAATAATTTTAATTTTTCTTCGGGCACTGTTTTAACGGTTTTTAGTTCTCTTTTACTCGAAACGATTGTTCTGGAATGTTTTAATAGAATTTCGGCAGGCAAATTTCAGTAAGATTATTATGTTTACCTTAATTAAATAAATAAAATTAATAATCTTAGAATTTTATCCGCATTTTTATTCGTCTCATCACTTTTTATTAAAATAAAAAATTCATTTTCAATAAAAAACATTTATTATTATTATTATATCTATATATATATATATATAAAGTTTTCTTTCGTTTGATTACTTTTTCTTTGTGCTAATTAATTTTTATCGAATATAACTAAACGTATTTTGATATAAATAATTTGATTAATAGTTCGAGGGGGGAGGAGGGAGGGAGGGAGGAGTATTTTGAAAGAATGAATTTTTAACTGTATTTTCAGGTTATTTCGGGCGGGTTACACTTTTAAATTATTAATCTTTTAATTTAATTAAAAATTCTTCCTACATTTTTGATTTTATCTAATCATTATGATGCGTAATTTAAAATTTTACCCAATGGCGATTATTTTAAATTTGTTTTAATATGTAACTATAATTAATACTATCGAATTAATAACTTTTTGTAAAATAACGTGTTAATTTTGCTTAGGCTCGATAAATATTGGGAGTTTGTCGGAGTTTTTTTTTTCACCATTCATTCCCCGTTTCGAAAATAAGATTATTCTATTTTGAATGAAATTATTAATAAAATTTTTCTAATAATAATGCGATCCGTATGAAATCTTTTCATTACGATTTTTTCGCACGTTCACTTTATAAAAATGCCGTTCGAATTACTTATTGGCGTTCGAATCACGGCTCGCACACAATAATTGGATATTTTTGTTTATTTTTATTCACATATGCGACAATTTTTTTTTATTTTTTTTTTTTTACGATATACTTAACCTTAACCGTTAATTTTGTTAGTCTAGTATTCGTGCGTATGTTCTAAGAAACAAATTTTATATTTTTCTGGTCTCTTTTACAAGACCTTCGTAAGTGAGCGTGGAGTAACTAGCACATAATACAATATCCAGTATTTTATTAATTTTTCTAAAAATCGATTCCCTTTTGATTTTTCACATTTTGTTAATGTCATTTTTCTTTTACCCCTTACCGTTTAGTGTTTTTCTCTGTCTCTCTCTCTCTCTCTTTCTCTTCATTGGAAAGAAATACTTTAATCATTTTACCATTATATTTTTCACGTTGTGTGTGTGTGTGTGTGTGCATCTGTTGTTGGACTTACAAAAACTTATATTGTTTATTGTGTTCTTCTAAATATTCGTGTTTCCCTAATATTGCGTCACGGATAATTAAATAATCGGGAGAGGGAGTTTATGATTAACATAAACACGAACAAATATCACAATGCTTGGCTTCAAAATGAAAAAAAAAAAAAAAAAAAAAAAAAAAAAACAAATATAATTTCCTCTGTACATGTCTGTTGTAATGAACGCCACGGTTTGCATTTAAAAATTTTTTTTTTTTTTTTTTAGAAATCTATATTTGACTTTCTTAATGTTTTTCTTCCGGAAATTTTTAAAAATATTATATTTTGTTCACGTGATTCCTTTTTCTTTCATTTTTTTTTTTTTTTATACTTCATTTTACGTTTTGCTAACAGCGAAAAACTGGTAGTGTATGTAATTGATAGAGTTGCATTCAAATAAATCATTTTAAAAAGTTGAAATAATAAAAATTTTATAATTTTTTCTGTTTATTTTATTTTTTAATTCGACAGACTGATTTTTAAAAATTATTCATAGTTTACCATGTCCCTAATTATTATGAACGTTGAATTTTCAACATAAAACTACAAACGAATTAAAATAAATCGTTTTTCATTAATGCAAGTATATATATAATTTATATTAAATTCGATTTCTGAAATGTCAATGGCTTTTATCATCATCATTTTTCTTTTAATTTAATTTTTATGAATTATTTATTAATAGAACAAAAAAAATTTTTTTTTTTTTGATTTAAAAAAGAAAAAAAAAAAAAAACAAGCGGGGTTTTTTGTTGATGGAAATAATAAATTAGTTTAAATAGAAAAAAAAAAAAAAAAAAACTTTCTCTTTTCTAAATAAAAATTTAAAACGATGAGATGATGTTTTTTTAAACATTGAAATAAAACAAACAAACAAACAAGCTTTAGTCTCACTGTTTGCAAGTGTTTTGTAACTAAATTTTATTAAGTGCATAAGATAAAAATAAATTAAACGTTTGTGAATAAAATTTCATTTTTGAATAATGCTAAATATCCTGTTTACACACAAATCACTAATCCTAATTCCACTAATGCTTTTCTTTGAAAACATTTAATGAAAGCAATATTAAAATCAATTTTCTTTTTTTTACAATCGACTCTGAGCAAAGTTGTTTTGTTACATACCTTTCCATCCTATTTTTCAAAAAAAAAAAAATTTTTTTTTTTTTTTTAATTAAAAGTGACACTTTATTGTTTTTTTTTTTTTTTTTTCTTTCACGTAATCAGATATTATAAGGACGCGGTAAAAAAATTTTTTTCTTTTGTTTGATGTTAGGTTTTATAGTGTTGTAAAATAATATGATTTATTATTATTATTATTATTATTAGGTATTATTAAAACAAGAAAAGGAAAATTTTTTTTATTACTATTTACGACATGTTTTAATATCTGAAAATTTTTTCAGATAAAAAATAAATTTTAATATTAATTAAATGTTTAAATTATATTAATAAATACTGTACTAGTGTAATTTAATGTTTAATTTTTTACCTAAAAATGCAAATAAATGTGAGATTTTAATTTAAAAAAAAAAAAAAAAAAACGTTTTAAATTCAATACTATTAAAATAACGTAAATAAATTTTTTTTTTTAATTTTCAAAAACTTGTAACGGATAATTTTTTTTTTTTTGGAGAAAGTTCTTTTTTTTCTGAATTATTATTATTATTATTATTTTTATTAATATTTTTTTTTTCGAACGCTTGAAGCGTGTTATTATCAAATTTCAATCTCCGCGATCTCGTGTATATTTTATATTTCGTGGATTTCATTTAAAAAAAATTTTTTTTTTTTTAAATCTCGGAAAATTTAAATAATTTCCTTCATAAAACTTTGTGTCGTCTAAGCCAATAATAAACTATAAATTTATCAATGTCAATAAATAGGGTACCCTTGTCTTGGCACCCCATATTTATATAAAAGCAATAAAATTCTTTTTTTTTACGACCGTAAAATGTTGCTATCAATTAAATTTTTAATTTTTTGAAAAAGCTTTCTGCGGATAACTTATTTGCGATGTGGAATTTACTCACTTAATAAAAAAAAAAAAAATGTTTTCAATGATTGAGTTCAATAAAATTCGTACAATATAATCTATTGTCTATTATATTCCTTTTTTTTTTGCAGGAAAAAATTTAATTTGCCACAAATGAAAATAACAAAAAGATTAATTATATTATTAAATTATAATGAAAAGAAATCATCAAATTTAATATTTATTTAAATTTTTCAGTTATAAAATTTTAAAATAATAATTTTATTTGCGTTTTTATACAATCAAACAAAATATATGTTCGATGTTTCATTTGTAAAATGTCGAGGGGGGGGGGAAACTCCGATGTCATAACTTATTAAAAAACCTCTATAATGATTTGTTTTAATTTTAATTTTTACCGCACGAAATCTTTTCTTTTTTCGTAACTACAAAATAAAAATTTATAAATTTTTTTTTTTTTGAATAGGAATATGAACAACAAGATGTTTTTTCTCACGGAATTAAAAGTTCTGAAGATTCAATCAGCGGGCAACCGTCTACAGTTGCCACAACTCTCGCACCAGAGTTTTTAAAAAAAAAAGAAGAATCAAAATTAAAGAATACAGAAGAAAAAAATCCCGCATGGGGACTGGGAAGATTGGTTCCTAAATTTGTTGAAACCGAAGAAAGAAAAAAGAAAAATACTCCCATGCATTACGGTAGGATTAAAAATTTTGTTTTCTACATAAATTTATATGAACGCTAAAAAAAAACTTGATTGTAAAAAAAAAAAAAAAAAAAAAACAGTTCTACATATTTCAATCAATTTCAAGTTCATTTATAAAATTAAAAATTTATCTATTGACTTTTTCTAAAAGAAATCAAATAATTCTCAATTAATTTTTCAAATACGATTACATTCTAATTTTAACGTTTACATTTTTTTTTTGTAGTTTTTCTTGACTGTAATGGTTTATATATAGGTTGTTGCTGCCATGTTAAACTTTTATAAATACTTAAATTATTATTTTAGGCGTATCTTCTATGTAAGAGAGGGTTAACAGGAATAATTTTTCTCCCGATTATTTTTTCATATTATCTATCAATTCATAAAAAAAGTTAATTTTTTTTTTTTACACACAGATTTATAATTTTAATTACACTAATTTGGGTGCATTAGTTTTCCGATTGTTTTATTATGTTAAAACTTGAGGTTCTCCCTGAAATTTCACGACTTTGAATTTAAATACATGAGAAATGCTTGGGGTTTCCCCCCCCCCTCTTTACTGAGTCAATTATGTCATGATTAGTAATTTATAATAACAATTATATTGTCACTTGTAAAATGTATTATGAATAACGTTTTAGGTCGTTTTTTTTTGTCTTAATAAAATTAATATTATTGTTTAATTCTAACCAAGCCAACTCGAACGCACTAAATAAAAAAAAATAATTTTGGGGTTTAAACAAAGTAATAAAATTTATTATTGAAATCATGTTAATTTTAAATTTTTTTGTCATTTGAAGATAAAAAAAAAGTACATTGCCATTCATTGATTATTCTTTATAATCGAAATTTATTATTTTTATAAAATATTTTTATTGATCAATTTCTATTTGAAACCAAAATAAAAAATATAAATTTCAATTCATCATTTCTTTTTTTTTTTTACGACAGTAAATTTTAAAACATTTGTTTATAAAAACGCCGGAAAAAAAAATAATAAAGAAATTTTAAAATTCAGTAAGTGAAATAAATCGATGGAATGCAAAATGGATTTTATGTTTTTTAAAAGTTAATGATGACAGAAAATAAAACAAATATTCAATACACATCGGATTCCTGTTTGCCCTGTTACCTCTTTCTTTCTTAGAAGGTTTTTTTTCTGTGTCAGGTACATTAAGAAAAACGACATTTTTTTACATTACTTATTCATTTTGCCGATGAATAATATTTAATAGTTTCGAAGAAGGCGAGAATTTTTCTAGTCACGAATCAAAAACACAAACACATACACACTTTGTCACATGCATTGATTGTTATATTAATATAAAGACTTAAAAGGATACGGGGAGAGAGAGAGAGAGAGAGAGAGAAAAAAAAGAAAAAAAAATGAAATTTATTTATTATTTTTTAAACGTAATTCGTCACATCCATCGAGTTCATATTATAAGCGTCGCTTTTGTTCTTCGAGAATCATTTCAGTTATAAATTAAATGAATGTGATTTTTTTTTTTTTTTTTCATGAATCTAAATTTTGATTCTAAAACTAATTTAAAACTTTTGTTTATCAAATAAGGTAGTAGTCAATTGAAATTTTATCTGACTCCCTAAAATTTAAATTATTTAAAAAAAAGGAAGAAACCTTTAAACATTGTACAAATAAAAAAATGATCATGTTAAATATTACAACTTTACACTTTAAATGATTTTTTAAAATAAATACTTCAACAATAACAATAACAACAACATAATTTAATACTCGCTCGCTTCGTTGATTGATTTATAAAACAAAAAAAAAAAAAAAAAAGTTTCGTTTTAATTTTTTTGAATAATGATAATTTGATATTCTACGAAACGCCTTGCATCGTAAAAAATTTTTAAACGCGGTAGTAATATACTTTATTTCATTTTTTTTTTTTTTTTTTGTTTTTTTCTGGATTTTACAGTTGCCGCTCACGAACATTACGAGCAAGTTCTTAGGCTGGGGGATTGCCACGTTCCTAGAGAAAAAGTAATAAGAGTTCACGAAGTTCATCCGGATCCTTCAAAATCTTATTCTCCCTCATGCACTATACTTCATCAATGCGGGGATGACACCGGTTGTTGTAGAGATTTAAAACAAGAGTGCAAGCCAAAGAATACAACCAAAGTGGAACTGTATTTTTTCGTAAGAAAATAATATTTATTTTTTTTTTTTATTATTTGCATAATAGTAGTAAACGCCCTGTGAACGTTCACATAATAAAATAAAATAAAATCTTCCCCCCTCCCCTCCCCATGAAAATTTCAATTGTTTTATTTTCATTATTATTAATTAATTTTTTATTTATAGACGACGACTCTCGGAAAACCACAAACGGTTGAAAAACTTTATTTTATTAATCACACAGAATGCGAGTGCCAAAAAAGAACGGATGAAATTATGCCGAGAGATTCTGAATTTCGGAGAAGTCATCATTTGAAAAAATTTTTAACCACTAACGTATTAAAAAATAATAATAATAATTGCACGTGTCCGAGCAAATACTCAACGAGACGTTTACACAATGGCACGTGCGTCTGTGACTGTTTCGATAAACAAGATGATTGTTTAATTTTAAAAAAAGGCAAAGCTCATTTTTCTTTTACCGACAAGTTGTAAGTTTCAAATATTTTTTGTATCCCTATCAAAAAAAAAAAAAAAAAAACAACGGCAGCTCTAAATTTTTAACTCGCCTTTTATTTCATATTTAGATAAGATACACACACACACACACACTATCTTGTTTCTTTTTTCTTTCTTTTTTTTTTTTTTTTATACCTAAAAGTTTTAATTTCAGTTAATTTATATTTACTTAGATGTATAATATATATATATACATGCATGTGGGATGTCATCAAATAATGAAAATAAATTTATTTATTTTAGATGCATAGATAAAGGACTTTGCCTTGCGCCATCATGTGAATTTGGATATTATATTAGAAATTTCGGGCGTTGTCCGAGCAAAAGAGAAAGTAATTACAACAGGTGGACGAGTACAATTTCCTATCGTCAATTACTGACGTAAAAAAAAAAAAAAAAAATTGCTTTTTCAATTTTTCTTATGTAAAAAAAAATTGCATTTCTCCTTTTTTTCTCTCTCTCTCTCTCTCATAAACTAATAATAATAATAATAATGTAACGATTGGTTGAATAATATTTTTTTTTTTTGTCTTTTCCAATAATTCATGAATTATTTGTAAACATTGATTGTATTCTTTATTTTATTTTAATTTTTTTAAAATTTTTCAAATGATAATAATATTTTTTAAAGTTTAAAATTGAAATTTTTTGTTAAAAATAAAAATCGTCGAAAAAAAAATTCATACGATATGGATTTAATGTAATTATTTTCATTTTAAAAAATTCTCACAATGTTATTATTATTATTATTTGTTTCTTGGTATTCATAAAAAAAAAGTATTTAAAAAGTGTATTTGTTTTACACTTCGCAGTTTAAATTAATCGAATTCCGAAAGGTATGAGAATATTAAAAAAAGTAAGAGGAAAATTTTTTTTCATCTGAACTAAAAAAAAAATTTTAACGAAAAATAGTATAAAGTAATCCATGACATAATTCGATATAAAAATAATTATAATATTAATCCGGTCATCTGGTGAGAACAGCACTTGGGGGCCATGCCACCACACGCAATGAAAGGAAATTCCAAGAAAATTTTGAAGAATTTAAAAGAAGGAACGCGAAGTACAGGAAATGACGTCATCTGGGACGGGGCCCTAATTCTCTTGAAAGTTTTATAGATAGCATCATTGATGTCCGAGGATTTATTCCTAAGGAATCGGTTAGAGACCGGAAATGAATGGTTTGAAAAACTTAGACAAGAATTCAGAAACTTGTCGTGTTTAAAAGTGAATAAATAATAATAATAATATTATTAAAATACCAATAAGTATTTATATTTTTAATAAATAATAATTTTACCGTAGACATCAATGACTCGTGCTTTAATAAATAATATTAAATTAAATCCATTGCTTCAAATAAAAAATACCATTCACGTTCTGATGACCAATCAATCGATGGATCGGTATACTTTTCTATAGCAATTTTTTACATTTTGAAGAATTGCCATGATTAATTAAAAATTTAAAAAAAAAAAAAAATAATAATTTCTAAAATATCTATAAAACTATGTATCGATTGACATTAATTTTTAGCCAAGTTATTTTTAAGCAATATCGAATTGGATATGACAATGACCGGACGAAACAGCTGCAGTGAAAAATAACAACTAAAAAACATTTTAAAAAATTATCATTATTATTAAGTTTTTTTTTTTTTTAAATGAAAAATTTTTTATTTTTATATATTGATTTACTTACGGGGGTTCGCTAACTAAATTCGCTTCGTTACTACTAACTATGAACAATGGAAAAAGAATGGAAAAAACGCAACCGCTGAAATCAATTAATAAATTACTATTAAAATTTTATGAAAAAAAAAAAAAAAAAAAAACTCAATATTTGAATTGTATAGAATTCCTACATTAAATCAATTAAATATTTTGAAGGGTATCACAGCCTACGTTAGAACCTCAACGTTTTATAATAATTATAATACATTTTCAAATCATAGTTAAGAAATTTTGATATTCGAGAATCAATTGAATTACTCCAAACATCGACATTTTTGATTTTAAAAAACCTCTCTGTCACACACACACACACACAAAGTCTTTACTTAAATTTTTTTTTTTTTTAAGTTACATTTTATCAAATAATCTATTTCTTGATTTCAATTTTTATAAACTTTGTCATAATTTGCATTTGATTTTTGAAATCAAATGACTACTATTAAAAAAAAAAATATTTGGCGTTGATTTTTTTTTTTTTTTTTTTAAGATATTAAAAGACCGCATAAAATACAAACTTTATTTTATTTTTCTCTTCTTCTCCTTCAAAAAAAAAGGGGTGGGGGTGTGGAAGAATATAAATAAACGCTTGCGAAAACGTAATTCAAAACTGTTTTTGAAAACATATTAAACATATCGAATTTAATGTTTTCTATTAATTTTAAAATTATGAGACGAGGGAAAATTTTAACATTAGTTATCTAATTAATAGAAAGAAAAAAAAAAAAAACTTACCTTACTACATAACTTCCAGGTATTGAAGTGCACAAGGCAAGAGGCAATCCAAAACCGATAAAATAAGGCCAATGATTTTCAATGTAAGTAAGCCTTCTATGAAGTTCCCATCCCATGTTAACCCACCTGTATTCAAACGAATACAAACTGTAGAGCATGCACATGTGCATTAACCATATTATTTGACCGAATGGATTAGGAAGCAAGCACACAAATACCGATTGCACAAGAAACAATATTTGAACCAATATTGAAAAAAAAGTATCAGCAACTGCGTATGATACACTTCTCGAAACAAAAACGTTTCCTCTTCTATAACGATAAGCAACATCTGCTATATCCTGAAAAAAGAGAAAAAAAAAAAAACTGACACACCTGAATAAAATTTACAATTAAAATAATTTTTTTTTTCTATCACTACTAAAATTCATTCGATTAAATTTTTTCTTGTTAATTATTATATATCTCTAACTCAATTAAAACTTTAAAAAATCTTATAAATAAGACTTACCTTTTAGGGAGATCACGCCACGTCAAATGGGTAAATTCTTTTAACTGAATTTCATGTTTGAAGTAGAAAAATTCAACGGATACGAATTATTTGTGCGGTCCGATATATTATTTTATTTAGCAATAGACGATGGAATAGCACCCATTCGTCGAAGCGTCCACCCGAAAGGTAAGTCTCGTTTTACAAAATTTTGTTTAAATAAAAAATTTTTATAAACAAAATGAAAAGCGTTATTAAATATCTTCTTTTGCAGCCTGCATGAGAAAAATTTTTCAACTTAAAAATCACACCTATTATACCTATTACAACTAAGGTCTTTCCTCAATGCAATTTATAACATAACATTTACTATGATTTTTTAAAATATTTTTTATGATGTTAAAAAAAAAAAAAAAACATTCAATGTTGTTGTATGGGTAATTTAACAAAAAAATTGTTTTTATGCTTATTTTTCATTTGAAATATTTTCATGTAATCACACTGTCGAGTGTGATGATTGATTCATTCAAAAATAACAAAAATTAAAAACTAAAAACTTTTGTCGTCCATTACACATCCTATTAGTGTCAACTCTAGTTATCCTATTCATTTATCTATAATTAAATTCAATTTATTAAAAAGCTAATCTTGTTTGTATTTAATTTAAAATGTAAATATTAATAAATTTTTCTCTGATTTTTAAAACAATTTAAATTTTGTTTCAAATAAAAACAAATTAAGTGACAGATTTTTAATAACTTAATGACGCTTCACTTTTGACAAAAAAAAAAAAAAAAAAAAAAAACAATAAGTATTACCTCAATTTTAATGAGTCAAAAATAATTTTTTTTAGTAAGATAAAACAATTTGAAAAAAAATCACATTGCAACCAAAATAAATAAAAAAAAAATTATGTCAATATAAATTAAATCGTTTTTAATCAATAGAAATTATAAATATTTTTTGAAATTTCAGGGATTTTTTTACATTTCTTATCGTTTAATAATATTCTTTTGAGCGCAAAATCCACCACATTGTTCAAGAAAGCCTCACTTTTTTTTTTTTTAATTTTTCAAATGATAATACTAATTTTCGATATAATCATTCTTAATATAAAAAAAAAAAAAAAAAAATCACACACTCACAGGCTTGTTTGCGAAACGAAAAAAGAAAAGAAAAATACACTTTCAGACCAATGTTTTCCTTAAGTCTAAACAAGAATATTTAACAATTAAAATAGGAAGTACGCTACTACATAGATTGACAGAATTCTTTTTAGAATTTTTTTTTAAACAAAAAAGTGCTTAGGTGCTCCTACATGTGGGCCTGCATTAAACACTATGATAGAAACATATGTTAAAAACTTACCATAAACCATAAATTGTTGACAATTTTACTGAGGAGCAATAAAGGTAAAACCCATACTGCACTAAAAGTCCAAGATAAAAAGGTTTTAATCAAAAACCAAACAGTACTTGTTGAAGACCTATCGCCCATGGCAAAACCAACTAAAATCTTTAAAATGGGCAATAAAATTGTATCAAATATCAATAGACTAGCCCAGAAAACTCCTCCATTTAGTATGCAACATTGAAGAGTTCTTTTAAGTATTTTTGGCTCTCTAAAAAAACAATATGAATTATCTATTACACAAAGCATCAAAATTTTATTATAATAATACACACAATCTGATTTATTGTAAAAGATGGCAATTAAAAAATTGACTTTAAAAAAATTGAAGTTATTAGAATTTTTTTTTTTTTCAAACATGTAAAATATTAATTAATATTTAATACTTACTCACGAATGGTATAATTATTCATTGCATACTGAGTCTTTGAATTTTGTGCGGATGATAATTTCTTTAACGATTTTTCTTTTATGCTCCTATCTAAAAAAAACAGCATAATGCTTCCACGAAGGCTATCAATGATGCCCAGGTACATAAATTTGAAAATATCCTAATTAAATAAAAGATAAAAATAAAAAAAGTAAGCTTGGCACGGTGCAGACAAACTTCCGAATATAATTAATTACTATCAAAAAAAAAAAAAAAAACAAGAACAAAACAAACCATTAAATAATTCATTTTGTCTCATAAATTAAGCATTTCCAAATTAAAAAAAAATTTTTTAACAAATTATTTAAAATGACATGGTCCGATACTCTGAAGTTGCGTTACGTTGTAAATATGTGGTTCAGACGAAACAACGTGGCATTAGAAAAAATATTGCCAACATAAAAATTATCTAACTAAAATCAATTACGTCATAGTAACTCTTAAAATCGTTGGTCTGCATTCGTTCACATTTTATCAGTTTGTAGGATTTATTAATTTTAGAGTGATGATGTTGTATTTCACTATAAATAATATATCCTTGTTTGAATTAATTTTTATAAAATATCGAAATCTTTGGAACGTGCTATACAACATAAAAAAGTCAAGTTGTTTAAATTAACGTGATCATTTATGAAAACGGTATTTGTTTTTTGATATTTTCAAAATGCTCAATTCCAGTAGTAAAAACCTATAGTCATTTTTTGAAATAAATATTTATTACAAAAATTAGTTACGTATTTAATTTCAATGGCAAAACTCGAATGATTTTTTTAATAATTTAATATTTTTAAAAAAAAAAAACGTTGTTTTAATTCTTAGTACTAATCAATTTATTTACAAAAATAGTTATTATTATTATTATTATTATTATTATTATTATTTTTTTTTTTTTTTTTTTTTTTTTTTGACTTTAAACATTATTTTCATTTTGAAAAATGATATAATTTTATTAATACAAGTGGATGGTATCATCATCAAAATGGGGTTTTCTTATGCAATAAACCTTAATTTTAAAATAAATTTGTCGAACTATGAAGGGGCCCTTTATTTTAATGAAAAAAAAAAAACGACTGCTTCCAAAAACCAAAAAAAATATTTTTTTTTTATGTCAATCATATCTGCGGAAGCCTGTTTTAATTTTTTTTAATATCAATGTCAAATTTCTAATGAAAATTCAATTTTTATTTAATTGTCTACTCTATATTGTTTTCTCAAAAAAAAAACAATAGTCTCAAAGTATTTAGCATATAAAGATTTTATAAATCATGCTTTTTACTTTGTCAATAACTCTAATCAAAAAAAAGAATAAAAATTTTTCAAGTTATCATTGTGAACATTGTATTATTTTTCTCATATTATTGTAATTATTATTATAGCACTGACAAATCTTGATATACACTTGTACATGTTTTCCTTTATGTATATTTCTTTCTCTGTGATAAAATTTGTGTTGAAATAGTGTTTAATTTTTTTGGTACAATTTTTTTTTTTTTCTAAACAAAACTATAACAAGTAGACGTTTAAAATGCAATAAAGTATGTAGTTATAAATATCAAAGAAACTTTTAGTGTTATCATTATTATTTTCATTATTAAAAATACCTGATGAAATTTTTTTAAGAAAGCAAAAATACAAAAAGTTTACTCATAGTGTAATAAACTTAAATTTTGTTAATTTAATTTTTTCAGTTAATTAAGCTTAAAACCTGCCATTTGAGTTTTACTCATAAGAATTTTTTCTATGATTTTGGTTCCTGATAAATTGCTCTGATACAAAAATTAAATACTTTAAAATAGTTTTTTCTCTCTCTCTCTCTCTCTATAATAATTTACTACAGACGGTTAATCACGTATGTGTATGAATATATATAACTTGAACAGTAATTTAATAATTAGACGTACATCTCTAATAACGATTTAAACAAAAAAAAAAATTTTTATATATATGTAATGTTTTTTTTTTTTTTTTTAAATTTTTATATTGAAATCGAAGTGCATATAAATATGTGCCTATAGTACATATATATATATATATATGTTCGTGTATGAATAGAATATACGGTTTAAAAAAAAAAAAAATAATAATACTGCTAATAATAAAAAACTATGGTAATCCATTTAAGAAAAAAAATAAAGAAGAAAAATGTTGACGATGGAAAGAGAGAAAAAGAGAGAGAAAGAGAGAGAGAAAATTAGGGGTCAAAATATCCTAGTTTTGGTGAGACCGTTGAGAGAATGGAATGTAGTCTCAAACCAGGGTTCACGTCTTAAACAACATTCCTTCACCGTTTTTGAATACCTAAGTCTAGTCAGTTTGAAAAAAAAATAATAATAATTTGCATGAAGATTTCATACTCAAGATAAAAATTCGCTAAATTTTAAAATAATTTTAGAAAAAAATTTTATTACGATAAATATTGTGTTAATATTTTTTTTCATGTATATATTTAATTTAATATTTTCGCCGTTTGTGATTGTTTATTAGTCTTGTGTTTTTATTATTTCATTTTCAGTAATATATTTATATATATATATATATATGTATTGTGTGCAAATACGCGCGTGAACCACCGTACACGCGGTATTTATTATTTTTAAAAAATTTTTATTATTAAAATAAAAATAATAAAAATAAAGTAAATTGTTAAAGAAAGAAGGGGAGGGAAAGTGCATAAAAAAAATTATATATATATATATATATAAAAAAAAAGGCTGTGAAACATCACACATTAGATTTTACGCTGTGATATTATTATTATTATATGATAATAATAACATTAAAAGGTTTGGTTATATATTTATTTTTATATATATTTTTTTTTTATATTTAAGAAATAATCGCGTTTAAGAAAGGTCGTAAAATATATATAATAAGCCAGACATTTTGACTCTCAAGTTTTCAATATAATTTTATTTTAATGCAATTTTTTTTTTTATAAATGTTTGCCTTTAATAAATCGTGTTATTATATATTTAAATGGAGGGGTTTAGATTTTGAATAAAATAAAATCATTATTATTTCACTTCATAATAAATCTTATTTTTTATACATTTTATTATTACGTTTTAAAATGTCAATGATTGTGCATGTATGATGGATGATTTTGCCTTGCGTGTGCGTTCATGTGTATTATGTGTGTCTCTTCACTTTATTTATTTGATTTCAAAAAATTATTCACGCAAAACAATTAATTCTTACTATTATTATTATTATTTAACTTTATAGTTGAATTTTTTTTTTTTTTTTTTTTTAAATAAATGTATGTATATAATGAAAATTTGTAACAATGAATTATGAATGATAAATATGAAAATATAAATTTCATTCTTCTCCCATCTCCTATCTATTTAATTGTTGCACAATTTCCAATAAAGTCTCTCAATTTGTTTTTTTTTTTTTTTTTTTTTTTATTAAGAGATCGGGAACGGCGTTCGACGTTCGCCGACTATCGATATATATATTCGAGTTAAGGGAAAAACTTTTGAGTTAAATGATTATTTGAATTCGAAACGTTCATGCCTTTTTTTTTTTAATTTTTATTTTTGATAAGGTAAAAAAAAATTAAATTCGAATTATTTTTAGAGTTTCTTCGTTCTTTGTAAAAAATGTAAATAAATTGTTGATTAAACTTCATAATTTCTCAGTATAAAACTTATATACATATATTTATTTATTTTTTTTTTTAAATAAAAAAAAAACGCGGAAAAATTTAATTCACGAACGTGTGAAAGAAAACTTTTCAAAAATTATTTTACGTGTAATAATTAAAGTTGTTATATGAATAAAAATATTTTGTTGACTCGCTTTTTCGATTTAATTAAATGTATTTAATTAATTATTTATTTATTTTTTTTTTTTTAGAACTAAATTAGAAGAAGGATTTTCAACATTCGGGATGTAGTAAGTATGCGCTGCAGTAGCACGGTTAGTGCGCCCGTGCAACACTGTTGCGCACCTCTAACTGCGCATCACAGCCGTTATATTGCCGTTCAACTTTTAAACAATCAGATTTTGTATTTTGTCATTCAGGTAATTAATTTATTAACCATATATTATTTTGTGAATTGAATACAATTACTGATTTTTCATTTAAACTAAGTTTTTAATAATAATTACTTTCTTTTTTTTTTTTAGACAAAATCTAAAGCTAAGGACGTTTATTCCCAAACATGTTCGTACTTAAAAACGAAAGGTATGCTCAATTGCGAGCTTTTTGGCTTGGCAATCATGTACGGTAAGCATTTTTTATTAACATAATTATTTCATATTATTAGGGTTATTATTAGTGTTATTGGCACCATTTGCCTTTGAGAGGGAAAATAAATGATGATAATACGCCCCGGTTGATTTTTTTTTTTTTTTTTATTGTTGAATAATGAAAAATATAATTCTATTATTATTATTATTATTATTATTAGCACTTATATTGACGACAAATCGTCTTGTGTTTGTAGGATTGTTTTTGTTTTAGACATTCATTCCAGGTTTTTACATTGATTCATTAGGAGTAAATGCCTGAATATCAATGATGCAAAAAAATTAGTTTTGGTTCTGTCTTTGTTTTGTTCTTATTTTGCTCTATTACAATTATGAATCGGTCATCATTATCTTTAGGGGTGAATTTTTTTGTGTGTATACATAGTAAAAGAATATAATTTTTTCCTTAAAATTACTTCAATTCAATTTCCCCCAATTGATAATTTTCCATCATTGAAATATTTCCATGTTAAATATTAAAAACATTCATTTTTGATTTACAATGGTAATAAAGGGTATAATAATTATTTTTTTAGTTGTAATTTTAATGAAAAATTATTTATTATATAAGTAAGTATATACTATAAGTATTTGTGGATATTTAAAAAAGAAATTTTTGTATTGATAGGATTTAAACTTATATATAATAATGAAAAATTATTCAAGTTTATGATAATTTTTTTTTAATTTTTGTTTTAGATCAAGAATATCTGTTTGTGGATCTTGAATGTAAACTATCTAAATATGCTCCGAAAAGTTGGAAAAGTTCTTCATCGCGAGTAAGTTTCATTTTTTGTCTTCAAGCAATAATAATTTTAATAATTAAATCATTTTTTATTAATTATTCAAAAAAAAAATAATAATAATAATAATAATAATTTTGAAAACCTTTGGTGTATTGTATCAACAAGTTTTAAATTATTTTTTTCATTAGATTTATTTGAGATAGAATTCTTGTGTGTTGCTGTTATTGAGGGCAATGTAATTTAATAAGTTATTAAAATTACACTTTATAGCTTTTATTACCTATTCCCTATTACCTAACTTTGCTAACATTACACGAATTATATTGTTTTTATTTTTTATTTTTTTCTCTTTTCATATTTAAATTTAAATTTAAAAAAAAAAAAAAAAACGTTTAAACGCTATTTGTTAATTTTACGAAATGTGTAAATAATAATATAATTAAACTTAAGATTTGATTATTTAAAGAATATTTCATTCTCAAAAAAGTTTTTCAACTGTCATATTTTTAAATACTTTGATTGAAAATTTTATCAGAATTTTTATTGACACTGCAATATATATATAAAAAACTATGCTAAATTTTTATATTTTTTCTTTTTTTTTTTTTTTAGGGCCTTGACGCTCAGGGGAAACCTATTTTCCAATTGTTTTTCAGAGTGCAGTTTTACATAAACATACCTTTTCTTCTTCGGTAATGTCAATATTTATATATACCTGTGTGTGTGTGTGTAAATGATATTTAACGTTTACCTACAATAACATTAAACAATGATTTGTATGATTAATAATACAAAAATGAAATTATTTATAATTGTTGTCCCATTTGATTTATCACGTAATCAATAATAATTTGGTTTACAACTAAAAGGTTTGTGAATAATTTAAGGAATGATATTACCCGTCACAATTATTATCTACAACTTCGAGATAACGTCATATCGAGGGGACATGTTGTTTTTTGTTCCGGCGATGAACTTTTGCTTTTATTGGCTGGATTAGCCTTGCAAGCTGACTTTGGAGATTATGATAAACTTGAATGCAAAGAAAATTATTTTCAACTCGACAAGTATTTCCCGCAAGAGCTTATAAAAAGAAACAGTAATCTTTACAAGACTGCCGTGACGTTACACAAAAAACATCGTGGTTTAACCATCGCTCAAGCCGAAATGAATTACATAAGGTTATTTTATTTTATTGAATTTTATTTTTTTATCAAATAGGTTTTATTTTGACAAAATGAAATAAAAAAAATTTCGTTTTTGTGATTACAGAGAGTCGTCATCTAATGAATTAACACTTTTAAATCATAATGTTCATTTATACAAGCTTAAAAGTAATAAAAAATTACACGATGATCAAGATGTGGTTTGGCTGGCTATCAGCGCTCAAGGAATTCAAATTTGTGAGGATACTTTGTTTAAGAAATCTCTTTTGGCAACATATTCGTGGGACAGTATTGGAAAATTATGTTTTGATGTAAGTATCCCACACTCTAGTAAATACATATATAGTTATTCTTGTAATGTGTTATGATGTCATAACATGTAAACTACACTACAGCCTGATAGTTAACTCATCCAAATACGATATATGTACATATATATATATATATTAAGTTAAGTCAATCAAAAATTTCTATTTTCATATAATAAAGAAAAAAAAATTCGAAATTAATTCCTCGAAATTGGAAAAAATGGTGTACTACACAAGTAGTGACGAGAAAAGCAAGCATTTATTATTTTTGTGTCGAGTTTCTCATCAATTCAGTATGTCGGTTCAATCAGAATTATCGGAAATCAAAAAGAAGGAAGGTAAATAAATCATTTAATATAATAAATATATAGTATTTAACATAAAATGATTAGTTTAACTCAAGTAAATTAAGAAAATATAATTTTCTAATTTTACGTCTAACTGTTTTACTTTTATTATCGAATTTGACATAGACAATGACAAATTTTTTTTCTATTTAAAAAAAAAAGAAAATTTTTTATTAATTCAGACAGCTTTACAGAGTATCGTAGTTTAGTACTTTAACATTCCTTTTGTAAATTTTTATAATGATGTTAATTGCAATAATCAAAATAATAATAATAATAATAGTTTAGTAAAAGATGAAGAGTTATTTTATTCGACTCTATAAATTTCAACAAAAATTTTTATTTTTTATTTTTTTTTTTTTGACAATAATATCAATATTAAGAGTTTGTTCTATTATAATTCATTCAAATTCAACTTGTTTATTATTGTTTAATTTATTATAATTTTAAATAAAATATATATATATTTATATATGTATGGTAGATTGATATTTAAATTAAAATTTCTAAATTTTAATTTGATTGTTTAATGATTATACTTAGAATTAAAAAAAAAAAAAAAAAAAAAAAAAAAGGAATGCAAGTAGTAATGTTTGTAATATGCAACGTTAAAGTATATATATATATATATATATATATATATTTCAGCATCGTTTGAAATTTAATAAATATTGAATTATGAATTGTTTTTATAAAAAAATGAAAATTTTTTTATTTTTAATCACTATTATTATTATTATTATTATTATTATTATTATTATTATTATTATTATTATTCGTATTTTAGGTAAGGTTTCCGATTTAATTTTCTGCGAGAATATTAAAAAACAAGGAGGATCTCATTCAAGTGTGAAAAAGGAAAAATTTTGCATTGCTACAACGACAAGTGATGATAATAATATCTTTTGTAAGGATTCTCCTTACACTGAGCCAAACATAAATGACAGTAATTTTTTTTTTAAATCGGCCGATGATTCTCTCGAAACGGAATTTCAACAAAATAATATTATTTCAAAAACGTCTTCATCGATAACTTGTAAATACAAAAATTTTTACTCGAACACGATAATAAATAATTAATAAAATTTTAACGGAATTGTATGTTATTATATTATTTCAGGCGCGTCGGATGACAACGATTTATCAAATAAAAGATTAGTTTTAACGGATTTTAACCGGGAAAAAACAAAATATGATTCCAAAATCAAAATTAAAACTTCAAAAAAAAATTGTAAACATTCTTGCGACAATATTTTTCTAAATAAATCCATGAATACTGAGAATTTGAAAAATGAATTAACTGATGAGGCGTCTCGCGATGAGGCGAGAAAAAAAAATGACAAACATATTTCGAGTGAATTGGTTTACCGTTTGAAAAATATAAATAATGTTGAAACTGGAACTGCCGTCAATTCAAATGATTTAAAATTATTAACTCGGTTCTCATCTGATTCAAATTTATATTTTTCTTTTTCTGACGACGACACGGATACTAATTCCGACAGTAACACTTACTGTCGAAATAAAAGTAAAAAAAATTTTAAAAAATTCAGTTTGGAATCAGGAATTTTTCAAAATTCAATCGAACGGTTAACATTTACGAAAAAAAAAAAAAAAAAGGATTTAAAAAATGAAGAAAGGGGAAATAATATCGAAGAAACCTGTGCGGAATCAACCAAGAGTTTTGAAAATTTTCCACGTGACGAAAAAAAGGTTTTTTTTAAAACTGATGGAACCCACGTTGAAGACTTCATATCGGAAAAAAAAAATCATCATTCGGGAACTTACCCGTCTTGTCCATCTATTTCGAGTAATTTAGATTCGGATTCGGATTATTATGTCATGTTACCCGTACGAAATACTTCTCAAAAAATAGAAAATGAAAAAAATTTTTCATCACTTTCTCTTGATTTCACAAAATGTTCATCGAAAAAAAGCTTGGAACCTGATAAATTTCAACCCGATTCGAATAAGTTTATCCCGTTGGAAAAACTTTATTTGAAAAACATTTTTTCACCACCACTGGAAAAAAATAAAATATCTTGTTCGTATTCTTCGGTGGTAGATGATTCAATTCAATCTGTAAATAATACAACAAACGTTTCGTGTTATAAACGAAGCATATTATTACCTCGAGACAGAGCGGAATCATCTAATTCCGTCAAGACCGATGCAACGCGACGCGGGGATTCTTATTTTAAAAATTTATTTATGAATCGATGCCGAAACATAAACGGGTATCAATTACATGAGAAAGATCGACACGATCCGCCCTCATCTCAAGAATATTGTGTAACAAATGAGAAAAAGATCATTCGAGAATTGGGCGATATCGCTTCGGGCAAAAATAAAAATATTATTGATGAAAATTCGCGATTGACCGTACCGATAATAATCGGAAAGAACAATTATTTGGATATACATGCTACAAAAGCAAACGATAATGCGGGAAAAAAAGATGCGATGATTCATCAGAAATACTCGTCAGTTTCTAATAATCAATTTCCGAAAAAATGGTCGTCCGCGACTACCGTTTACACTTCTCAAATCTTTCGTTCTCAAATAGAACAATATAGGCAGCAACTATATTCCGATGTTGATTATGTTATTTACCCTATGAAAGATCCGGCGATAAGTAAAAGAGAATATTTAAATGCGAAGCAAGGGAGTTTCTTATCCGCTCTCGCTTCTGAATATACGTATGGGTATACGAAATCACCAACTCCTTCTTTGTGCGCCCGTGCCGAAACTCGGACTCAGTGTAAACAAATAGAAAATTCAAATTTTATTAAAACGCATGATTCTTTTGAAAAGGCCAGGAATACAATTTCGAACAGAGGTCGCGTTAAGGTTCAGATCAACCATTCAAATAAAAGAGTTTTAGAATTTCAAGAATGTTTGCAACGAACTAGTCAAACAAAATCAATTCATGCAGTTTCTTCGAATGTGATTTTCGATCGCGGTCCGTTTACCGGTTCTGTAAACGGCACGGAATGCACCGGTTCTCTTTCCTCGTTAAACATCCCGAAAAATTTTACTCATTTCACAAGGGTAAAATCGGATGATAAAATTTTAAATTTTCACGACGGACGAAACATTTTGAACGAAAATTCGAAAAAATGTCAAATTTCTTCACCGGATGCGTTATTCATTCCTCATTCGGCCTGGGTCGTCGATGCAAAACGCGGATCGCGCAAAGTTTCGGATTCGAAAACTCAATGTAAAACACTTTGTGGAACGCGCAACTTATCCGATAGTACCTTATCACGTGATAAATATAAATCTGAGAAAACAGTCAAGTGTGATGATTTGAACGGTAAAACGATTTTGTCGAAACGAATTTCTCATTATTCGAATAAAAATGATAAAAATAAACAAATAGATATTCACACTTTGATACAGCAGAGCAAAAATTTAGACCTGCCGTTGATATCGGCTCTTTGCAACGACAAAACATTAATACAGCAAACGAATGCTTTTGTCATGCCGAAGCATCCCAGCCTTAAAAGGCGTCCGCGTGCCAATAAATCCATTGATAATTCCAGGATCAATTCAAGTTTTTCGATGAGTAAAAATTTTAATGACGCAACCGCTCATCATCACCATCAGATTTTGTCGAATAAAGAAAAATTGAAAAAAAAAAATCCGAATGAAAGTAACTCTGAGGTGACGAGGTGTGGGAAAAAAAAAGCCGTAGTCAAAAAAGAAGTAAATGCGAGCACTACGTTTTTAGATTCTTTGCTTTCCATTAAGGTTTCTAAAAAAAGCATCAGCAAGATGAAATATCCCGTGTCTGGTATGTCCACCACGCAAATATCGAGGCCTCAAAAAAAATTGTCAAGTTCGCATGTTCATCCTTTGGGTGCCGTTAGAACGGTAAAAAACCATCATGCTCTGCCTGTGCCATCCAATAGGAAATATGACTTGGTGCCATAATAAAATCGGGAAAACTTGAATTTAAGGTAAAAAAAAAAAAAAAAAAAAAAAAAAAAAAAGAAATTTATTTGATAAATATCATTTATTTTGATCGTAGCACGTTTAACACGTATATTCGTGTTGCTACGTTCAAAATATGTGTCAATATTTTATGAAATTTTTTACGTACCTACCTATAAATCATTACTGACCGTTAATCGTTTGATGTAAAAAAAACAGAAGAATAATGTAAAGCGCTCTAGCGTTTAGAAATTCTAATTACGATGATTAATATCTTTGTAATTTTAAATAATTTTTTTTTTTTTTTTTAAACAAAAATCCAAAAAAGTTGTTAAATATTTTAAATTTACAACGATTACAAGAAAAGTATTATTAAAAATAATTATTTATTACAAGTTTTTTTTTTTTTTCTTAATAATTTACTTAATTACATAATAAATTTTATAAATATGATAATTTATTAAATGAATTGCCGCCAATGAACATAAAATATAATAAAATTATTTATAATTTACCTTTTTTTCTTTTATTTTTTATTTTTATGTAAAAATTAACGAACGAAATAATAAGTTTTATAGGTTTCAGTTTTCATTTTTTTCATTGGGAATTTCCGATGTTGTTGCTGCAAACTGATCAGCAGTTTTTTTTGCAAAATTTTCCAACCTGAAATTTAAAAAAAAAAACAATTTTAATAATTTATTCATTACCGTAAATAGGATAAGAAAAAAAAAAAAGAAAATGAAATGATTTACATTAATGTAAAATTTTGAATTCCGTGAGTTATTTCGTTTGTATTGATTTTAGTTGTTAATTCCTCGATGGATTTTTTGAAATTATCAAATGCTGTAATAAGTTGACTTTGAACTTTTTCCATCTGATTTTCTTCTGAACCACTGACGTCTTTTTTTTTCCTCAAATGAATTTGAGCATTGTATCCCTATAAAATTTATATATATATATATATACAAAATTATTTAATATTTCTTGTTAAGTAAATGGGGAAAAATTAATGTTTTTTTTTTTTTTTTTTTTTTTTTTTTGTTTAAATATATTACATATTAAATATATAAAAATATATTGGCGGGGTCCGATTCGATTATCGATTCCCAACGTTAATCTTCCCCCGCGTTTGGGATACTATTCTAAATTTAAATCGAATACCCTTTTAACGAAAGAAGAATTATATTGATAGGAAAAAAACATTTTACATCATGTTACATGAACTGAACAAATTTGTTACTAAAATTTCATGAACACAACTCATAGATGTAAACCCAATCCCAAATTTAGATCTAGACAAATGCCAAAAGACGCCAAAGTTGAACACTAAGATATCAGGGAAAACTGATGAACGAAGAGCTGACCACCAAGAACGCTGGCTGAGACGTCCAGCCTCCTTTTATAAGTTCGGTCTATCGTTGGTCTTTGTTTATTGAGCAGCAATCAAGATTAGATAAGAGAAACAAAAGAATGAGTGTCTAGAAGCGAAGCTTCCAGAAATGCTGACTTTGCCTCTACGATGTGAATGCTGTCGTTGTTCCCCTTTCGTTTATCAGAAAAATAAACCACATCATAACAATATATATATATATATATATATATATATATATATATATATATATATATATATATATATATATATATTGTTATGATCTTGGATACGAGTTAAAACTGAAAGTCGATCACTTCGTTTGTAAATAATGCCGAGTAACGTCACAATCACTGATCTAGACCGAAGATGGAAGAACGTCACCGGAACACGACAAGATCAGAAGTACCATTTCTTCAGGAGTTTCATCTCCTTTTTATATGTGTCTCATTCATCGTTACTTTCACCGCAATAAAAGTTCTAATAATAAGCATAATAAAAACACAAAAGAAAGAACCTTTTGAAAGGTTCGCTTCTATTTTCTACTTCGGTACCCATTGTTACCGTTTTCGGTGTTTATAACGTCTATAAACGTCGGCGTAAATAAATTAAGGATGGGATCATAACAATAAATAGATTTAAATTTTAAATTATTCATAAAAAGAGGTTTGTTATTAATTGATTTTATATTTATTTTTTTTTTTTTGCATTCCCTGTGTGATGTTATACACAAAGCTAAACGATAAACTAAAATCATAATATTCAAGCAATTTAAAAGAAAATAAAAAAAAAATAATAATAATAATAATAATTTATGGGAATCAAGTGATTTATGATAATTACTCACTTACCTCAAAGAAAAAAATTAAAATTGAAAAGAAAACGAAAAACATATAATGTTTCATGTTTAAACACTTTAATTTATCTCTTAAAACTAGTGTTACAAATTTTTAAATTATTCAATCGTAATTAACAACAACTGAATTTTTAGTGAAAAAAGGAAAAAAAATTAGCCTAGTGTATATGATTTAAAGGTTAAAGGTCACTATCAAAGGTTAAAAAATAAAAATATCGGTCAAGAATTTGATAAATTTTGAAAAACAAGATAAGTATGACTAAAATTTATTTAATATTGTGTAATTTTTTTTTTCCCCGGTTTTGGTTTTTTTTTTTTTTTTTTTTTTTTTTTTCCCGGTTTCGATTTTGGTTTTAAGTTTGGTTATTTTTTTATTTTTTTTTCCGATTTCGGTTTGGGTTTTAAGTTTGGTTTTTTTTTTTTTTTTCCGGTTTCGGTATTTTTTTTTTTTCGGTTTTGATTTTTTTTTTTTTATTTTTCCGGTTTGGGTATTTTTTTTTTTCCGGTTTGGGTTTTTTTTTTTTTTTCGGTTTTGATTTTTTTTTTTTTTTTCCGGTTTTGATTTTTTTTTTTTTCCCGGTTTTGATTTTTTTTTTTTTCCCGGTTTGGGTTTTTTTTTTTTTTTTTTTTTTTTTTTCCCGGTTTCGATTTTGGTTTTAAGTTTGGTTTTTTTTTTTTTTTTTTTTTTTCCCGGTTTTGGTTTTGGTTTGGGTTTAGGTTTTGGCCTTGGTTTATTGTTTCATGTACAAATTTCTGTTCAGTTTCTTCACGCTCGCGAATTCTCGACTCACCCGTTTCCGCTCTGGCCGTCGAAAAAGATCTCTCTCGGGGATGAATGACATTTTTTCCGGGGCTGCTGTTTAACTGGGAAAAAAAAAAAAAAAATAAATAAATAAAAAAAAGGAAAAGAAAATTTTAAATAAAAGATGAAGTAAAAGAAAAGAAAAAAAAAATTCATTTCATCCCCCACCCACAGCTCGCCCCGGAACTCGGGGCAAGGCGCGGGTGAGGGGAAAGGTTGAGCGAAATTCGGAGAGTCCGGGACGGCGGTCGAAATCCGGAAAAAAAAAAAAAATTTTTTTCGCGCCCTCCCCCACCCCCACCCGAAACCGCGAGATCGCGGCTCCCGTCGCGGGGTCCGCGTCCGACTTCGGAGAGTCCCACGCCGCGGTCGAAATCCGGAAAAAAAAAAAAAATTTTTTTCGCGCCCTCCCCCACCCCCACCCGAAACCGCGATATCGCGGCTCCCGTCGCGGGGCCCCCGTCCGACTTCGGAGAGTCCGGGACGGGGGTCGAAATCCGGAAAAAAAAAAAAATTTTTTTTCGCGCCCTCCCCCACCCCCACCCGAAACCGCGAGATCGCGGCTCCCGTCGCGGGGTCCGCGTCCGACTTCGGAGAGTCCCACGCCGCGGTCGAAATCCGGAAAAAAAAAAAAAATTTTTTTCGCGCCCTCCCCCACCCCCACCCGAAACCGCGATATCGCGGCTCCCGTCGCGGGGCCCCCGTCCGACTTCGGAGAGTCCCACGCCGCGGTCGAAATCCGGAAAAAAAAAAAAAATTTTTTTCGCGCCCTCCCCCACCCCCACCCGAAACCGCGAGATCGCGGCTCCCGTCGCGGGGTCCGCGTCCGACTTCGGAGAGTCCCACGCCGCGGTCGAAATCCGGAAAAAAAAAAAAAATTTTTTTTCGCGCCCTCCCCCACCCCCACCCGAAACCGCGATATCGCGGCTCCCGTCGCGGGGCCCCCGTCCGACTTCGGAGAGTCCGGGACGGGGGTCGAAATCCGGAAAAAAAAAAAAATTTTTTTTCGCGCCCTCCCCCACCCCCACCCGAAACCGCGAGATCGCGGCTCCCGTCGCGGGGTCCGCGTCCGACTTCGGAGAGTCCCACGCCGCGGTCGAAATCCGGAAAAAAAAAAAAAAATTTTTTTCACCCGAAAATTTTTCAAAGTTTTTTGAGACAAGGGGGCTCGGATTCGGCTCTGATGAAAACGTCCAATGTTAATCAAATGCACTCTTATGGGATTTCAATTCCAGTTTTCCACTGCTCTGTTCTTACATGGTAGTCGACTGAGCGATGGCCGAGATCGGTCGTCCGGCGGTCGAGTCGCGTGAAACCGATTCGATCGTTTCGGGCGAAACCGATCCTTGTTCGGCCGGATAAAAATGTACGTAACGTTGATTCGTGATATATATGTACGTACTTTTAATGTATCGACGACGATACGCGGCGCGCATCAATTTTCAAACCGCGCGAAAATTTTGACGATTTCTTTTCGAAGCGGACGAATCGATTTCTCCGACCGCTCGCTCGCTCGCTCGCTCGCTCGCTCGAACGCGCGCACGAGACGACGACGACGAGCGAGAGCGGAGAAAACGTTTTCGATCGCGACTTCGAGCATTTGAAAATCCGGCGAGGGAGAGAATGTTCCGAGCCGTCGAAGCGACTTGCTCGCAAAAGATTCGACGATCGCACGAATGATTTTTTCACATTCTCGCACGCGCGCTCCGATGAAATCGTTTTCGCGACGGCGAAAGGCGACGGATTCGAGCGTGCGATCGCAACGCGATAAGGCGACGACGACGAGGAGAGAGCGCTCTTCGCTCGCGGAGAGCGCTTCTCGCGGAAGAAAAAATCTTCGTATAAAAATGCTGCGTGCGTCGTTCGCGATTCGATTTCTTCGCGTCGGGCGTGAATTTCTTTTTTTATTTTTACTAAAGTAAAAATTGAAAAACACGCGGGGGCGACGACGACGCGAGAAAAAGATGATCGGA